GCCCGAGACGGCGAACTACATCGTTCCGAATCCGCAGAATATGCGAAAATACCGGAAGATGATAAGGCCGCGCGAGACGAGTATGCCAGATGCCACGGTACACGATTTTTTGAATTCTCTCGTCTCCCTTACTTCAACCCGGTACGCCAAATCATTATTGACCCCATGCATTGCATTTTTCTTGGTACGCTTCCCCTTCCCATCTTGTGTTGCGCTGCATGTTACAAAGGAATTGTCAAAACCCAATGGCTCGACGCCTGGATCAGGGATCCCCCCGCCCTTCGCAAGCGCACCGAAAAGCACCCGCGAGAAATTGACCAGATTCACGATTACCTGAAGGCCGTAAGCTTATACACGATCTACTGCTGTTGCTTTTCGTCAACTTCCCAACCATCAGATGGAAATGCCATCGTGGGTCGCAAGACTGCCCAGTCAAGTCGGGTACGCCTCGGGCGGCAATCTCACTTCCGACGAATGGAAAGGGATGTTGTTAATAATTTGTCCGCTAATTGTACGCTTCGCAACCTACCTGATGAAGTTTCACTGATTTCTGCGCAGCTTCCCCATATTTGGGCCGAATGGTACCCTATCGCCGTCAACGATCATGAAAAAGCGAAAAAATCTTGGAAAAAAAAAGAGACCGCACGTTTAAATCGTATAGCTGCGGGTACAGACACAGCGAAAGATCGAAAAGGTCCAGCCGCTGAACCGAAACCCATACGGATGTTTGAGAATGACCCCGACCTCTTGATGAAACTCGCGGCGTGTTGTAAAATTTTGTTGTCTGGCAGCATTGACGTCGACAGTCTGCCCAGAGCTCAAGAGCTACTCGAAGCATATCTTGCGGGCTTTTTCGAGGTATGTTGTCTTCAGTACATAAGTTCTTGATACCGAAACTGCCCCCAGAATCATCCCGACCTCGTCAAGCCAAATTTCCACTACATTACCCACATTTTCGCCATAATTCGAGACTTCGGACCGGTCTACGGATTTTGGACATTTCTTTTTGAACGATTGAACAAGCTTCTGAAAAGCTACGATACAAATAACCATGGCGACGGTGAGCTGGAGGTAACATTCTTTCGTGAATTCCAACGAGATGCAAATCTTCGTGAAGTGGTAAGTTCGCATTTCTGGAATGATTTCTGTGACACTCATTATTATCCACCAGCTTCAACGACTCGCCAAAAAGGAAGGCCTCGTCGGACTCACTGCCGAGGAGCAGTGTGTTGCAGAGAATGCTCGCCTCATTCTTGCAACCGACAGCGACGTACGTGGAACGCTCGCTTCTATGACCGCCGAGATTGAGGAACTCTCCGCCGACCGTATGCCAGCTAGCATCTTTTTGTTTTTTTATATATCCCGCTCATCATACTTCCAGTTGGCACAAAATTCTCCATGGGGATTTCTGTCTTGAAGGACGTTCCTCCGATTATGCAGCGGGACATATTGGATTACTATAATACGACTTATCCGACAGTTCCCATCATCGCCCGCAACTCCCCGACCACCGACCACACACAATCTTTTTTTCTGCATGGATCGACCATGGTTCACAGCCATTTTATTCTTGACGGTCGAAAAATCACGAGCTCCACATCACAAACAGACGCCTCGAGCTCGTTAATCCAGCTAGATGCAGGCAGTGATCGCTACGTTGGCCAGATTTACAATATTCTCACCCATAATCAACCCGGCCTGGAGCAGCCGCAACGCCTCCTTGATGTCCGCTGGATGAAACGCGATACCGAGTTTGATATGTCGGCTTGGGATCCCTAGTAAGTCTTGTCGTTCTCTAAAATGCTCTACTGAGATGATGCACAGCCCGGAACTCGAGATATTCGCATGGGAACACGACAAATTTCTGCGGCGCTCAGATCCTGGTCCCAAGCGGATTATACCCATTAGCGCCATTATCTCGCAAGCATGCCGACTGACAGTGGACTGCAAAGAACAGATCGTCGACAGCGACGCTGAGTCAGATGAAGACGAGGAAGCCGAAACCTCCTGCGGCACGGTACGCAAGATGTGGTTCACTGCGGGTCTGACTCGGGTGCGTACAACGTGATGGTTCAGCTATTTCCGTGCTCATTATTTTCGTAGGATGTGGTTGTAGTATGATCTGTGTGCTTGTTTTATATATGGAGTTGTCGGTTTAATTACGAGATTCAACACAAGAACTTTCAAATTCACGTTACGGCTTTACGCGCGTTGATTTTGAATACAATTGCACAGGATCACAGGTATCATTCGTTCTGAGGTATCCATCCGTCCATCCGTCCATCTATCAGCAAAGCATCATGGCACACCCATAAAGCTATCCCCAAACCCGTCAAGCGTCGTGAGCTTCATCGCCCCCATCGTAACCCTCGTCTCCAAATCCGTCAGGGTTTTCTGTGTAGACAGCAAACGCGTTGTCGAGATCGGGATTAGTGATGCTCGTGGCGTCATACCACTCCGTTGAGATCATGAATGGCCATAACGTGCCCGTAGGGATGCGGTCGTGTGTGGCGCCAAGACGCACTCGGGGGACAGAGGTGCGCGACTTCCGTTTTGCTGCTTGTTTTGCCTTTTTCAAAATCCTATCCAGCTCGTCCTTCGTTTCAACGCACTGCATACGTCAGGGGTGAAATTGAATGCTCGGGCAGATGACTGACTTCTTTAGACTGGAACGCCGGCCGCACGACCTCCCACACCGGCTCAGCTTGCTGGTCAGGTCCCAACCGCGCCTTTCGAACTAGCAATTGACGGTGAGTTTTCCTCTTATCTTCGTCGTCGGTGTCGGGTGCGGAGATTTCGTCACTCATCCATTCAGACTCGAGTACGCATGAAGGATTCTTCTTGTGCAGTTTGCGGAACTCCTTCACGGCCGCTAACCGGTTCTGTTTGAGCTATGCGCGGCGACGGGCAGTGAGTGTGAATATTCTGGGTCAACAAAGTGTCGCACCTCCTTTCTCCGCATTCCTTGGCGGTCCTTCGAGGCCTGACGAGCCGCTCTCGCTGCGACTTGGTTGTTTTGTGTCTGATTCCATTTCTTCTTCCAGCTACGAAAATTAGTTTTACCGAAATCCACCAGGTCGGAACGAGTGAAAGAGACATCCTTGTGCGCGAGCGAGAAGGTGGAGGATTTCGGATCCTGGGAGTTAAATCATTAGATAATTTCGGCGCGAGGGGCTCGAGGGTTACATGTTGTTCAGTCCAAATCAGTTCCGCGGCACGAGCAATTATCTTGAGATTACTATCGTCATCTACCTTCGCAGCGAAGTCGAAGGACATGCTGGGTGGAGATACATTCGAGCTATTGTCAGAATCGGAGCTAGTAGATGAGTCGTCCCGCGAGTTCGTGCCAGTCAAGTTAATCAATTCTTTCTTCATTTTGCGCTTCCAGGGATTGAGCTCGTTCCGCGGAGTAAGAAGGTACCACACACCATGAGCTCCTTTCTAACCTCTATTTGTCCTTTGGTCAAGCCGTTCTTGTGCCTCAGAATGTAGGGCGATGGTTGGTTGTTGCGTTTTCTGCGTTTCGTCGACGACTGTTGGCCATCATTTTCTTGAGCGCGTTTTTGCGTCTTGAGATCTTCTAGTTCACGTTCTAGAGCAGCGAGACGTGCTTCGGTAGTCATCTGAGGGGCAGGGAGAAGAGTTGGGTCGATGACGGGCGGGGCAAAAGGCGTCAAAGGGCCGAGTCGTAAGCTGCCAGGGTTTTGCTGCATCTGAGCGGCGTAATGGTATTGTTGAGCTGCGAAGGTGTATTGCTGAGGAGTAAGTTGCAACGGAGGTGGATCGTTGGGTCCACCAGAGGGAGGAAACGGTGGATAGAAGGACATGGCTGAGGGAGACAGGAAGCGCGTTTCGCGTTATTTGGACATGTGTGCGACTGACATCTGTCAAGATGTGATCAGATTGCCCCGGCAAACCTCGGCAGACCATCGGCCGAGATAATCTGGCCCGCATCTGCCAAGGTCTGATGATATCTCCTCGACAGACCTTGTCCGACCCGTTCAAAGTCATCTTGACACAGTCCCTTCCGAGGTATGTCAGGCAGCCTCGGCAGACCTCGACAGGGTGTGCTTAGGTTTATCTTAAACGCAGTGAATAATTTTCTTGGCTTCTGTACAAGCTTACCGGGACCAAATCCTTTAGGTGAATAGCTAAACCCGCCTGTCTTGAGCATGTGTCGATTCGATTGGGCTATCGGCCGCGACGGATAAGCGAACAACTTAAAGCAACAGAGCCGCGAAATGAAATTGCGGAGGTTCGATTCCTCCCTCCGGCCGGTACAGATGGCATGGGATATTTGATTGCAAGGTTGTATGGTCTGTATCCGAGTTAGGATGTATAGGAAAGGCAGCCACACGGACCAGAGGACAAAAAAACACGACTTGACTCGCACAGTTAAAAATATATCTTAAAATTCGGCGGATTTGATATAGGACTGGTCCGATACTGGCCTCTTTGGGTTCTAAGCTTACAATTAGCCTCAGACGTTGCTTTCATCTCCTTCCCAAGATGCAACCTACCCGAGGTGCGTACAATGTTGAATCACCAGGTTGGCATTTTTTCGTCCGAACAAAATACTATAAAGTCAATCCAAGGCTAAAAACCCAGCGGAGAAAACCTCGCAGCCGTTGTCCTATTACGAGTGGGAAGTCAGTGTAAGAGGCTACCGTTGTCCTGCCTTGTCCCGACCTTTATTTTAGCGTAATGAATCACGACCGACGTAATCGGGCGATAGCCTAAGCAAGATTAGGTGCTCTGAGGGTGGCAATCATCGGCTGCGCGGCCGCGATGCGATGGCCGAAGGATTTTGGCAGAGAGATCAAGATTGGGATCGGTTTACGCAAAAACTGCTGACGAAAATGTGACTTACCCTCAAAACTGAAAATCAGGCGCCCTATATAAACCCTTACCTAACGGTAACGGGAATATATTTGAGTAATAGTGGGCTCCGGGGGAAAAGAGTTGAGAGCATGCATGTTCTGCCACGGTAAAAGGAGAGGCTGCCCCTGCAAGGTTCGAACTTGCGATCTCACGATTAAGCCATGAAGTTCGTCATACATAACAGTCGTGCGCCTTCACCAACTGGGCCAAGGGGCAATATTAGGCAACAACCAAACGGCGTGATCCACAGGACCAAGAAAGGACGACAACAGCAGGCGCGTTAAGCCGACATGAACCGTCTCGAGAGCAGTCACCATGTGTGTATATCCAAAGGTGTCCGGCGGAAAGGCGAGGGATTGATAGAGGGTGTTTCACATAGCCTAGCGTCTTCGTAAGGTAATTGAGCACGGAAACAGGGACATGCAGCAGAGTGGGAAGTACAAGAGAAGTAAGTCTAATTTCAATTGGGTTGACCTGAGGCTTCTGCGGATCGTCGCACAAAAATAAACACCGACCCGTAAGGTTTAAACATCGCGAGTTGCCGATGGATTCTCACCTGTGGCTATGTGGTTTAGATCCAAGATCCCCCCGTCCTTGTTTCCATGCTCGGACCAAAAACCGTCTTTCCAGAGGATATCGAGCTCACGATAAAGCAACTCCTGGAGGCACCGGCAATGTGGACGATTATGTCCCGACTAGCCTCACGGTTTCGTACCTGGTGAGTGACTGTGAGGTACTCTCGCTCATCATGACCATCAACGCATATAGGACCACGCCTGCGATGCTTCGGACTGTTGTCATCAGACTACGGGACGACTGGGCAACGCGAATCGAACTTTTTTTTCTGCCTCATGCGAAGTTCTGGCCATCGATCTGCCCACCACTCCACCACTCGCGGCCTCCTCTCGGACGAGGAGTTGTCGTGTATTCGACGTTTCCTCCGGGGTTCGGAGTGTGTAAGGCATATTGCAGTAAGCTGGCACATCTGGGAGCAGCTTGCCTCGGAATGTGGCTCGCTGCAACTCGTCAGCCTTTATCTTATTTGTGTCAATGCGCAAATAAAGCTGTCCGAAATCCTCTAAAACATTAAGATATGGAACACAAAACAGAAACCTAATCAGCCAAAGACGTCCTCGCTATACCTTCCCTCCTTCCTCAGTCCCGCTAACCAGGCCGCAGGATCAGATACGCCTCCAACCTGCTCAGCGATGCGCATCAAGCTCTGCCGCACGCCCTCCCCTACACGAGCAGCAGACCCACATACGTACACACGCCCGTTATTGGAGAGATCCGTCCAGGTTTGCAGTCCGTCCCGTATCAGGATATGTTGCGCGAACCGACATGGAGAGTCGTCTGCAGAGTACGCGGCCTCGGCGAGTACGGTACCATCCTCCACGTACGTCCGAATCAAGCTGATGTACTCGTCGTTAGGAACTCGAAAAAAGGACCTTAAAGGAGGCATACCTCTTCAGGCTCGCCATATCGTGGTGACTTGTTCCGTAAACTAATCGGAATGTCGCCTCGCCCCCGAATTCTGGAATTTTAATTCCTTGGGCTCGGCGATGCTCCTATGCGGAAATTTAGTTGGGAAACAAAGGAAGAAGTTGACTCACCAGAAATCCGAGATAAGCAGATATTCCTGTACCTGCGCCCACCATGACCACAGGGACTTTCGGATCCGTGGGGAGATGGAACGAATCCTGCGACGCTCGGGGCCGAACCCATAGGACATGCCCGGTCTCCGCACGTCGGAGGAAGCCTGAACAAAGGCCCTGAAAATCGGAAACGCGCTCGTCCTCGACACCGACGCAAAGCTTCACGACACGGGCGTCGACCAACGGACTGCTGGCGACAGAATACCTCCGAGGCTGCGTGGCGCGCAGGACCATGAGCAATTTTTGGAGGTTGAGCGCCTGCGACAATAGGGGGTAGTTGGTGACGAGGTCGCTGAAGTTGCGATTTTGCTGGGTGAATGAAGTTCCGGCGTCTTTATCCGACGAAGTGCTGGCGGCGATCAGTGTTTCCCGCAGGGTCTTGGATTTGTCGTCCCCTGGAAGAAATGAGGCTAACATCTGGAGACTGCTGCGCTGAAGAGGGCCCGCTAAATCCGCGTAGTACAAGAGTAAATCGCGCAAAGTGATTTGGCCGCGGCCAACCAGCAAGGCTGCGAGGGAAGTGGGATTGACACTGGTGTCAACTTCCTTGACCGAGAACACGGCGTCCGCGACGAAATTGAGCGAGATGAGTAGACGGTCCACCACGGCAGCCTTGTTCTCTGGAACGACCTCGATATGGTCGCCCTCGCGGTAAGGGAAATCCTCGGGGACATCAAAGGTGAGAAGGCGCATGCAGCGAGGCAGAGGCGTATCTTCGTCAACAAGCTCCACGTTAGCGCTAACAGTGGCCTTGACGAACCCAGCGATAGGGGGCTGGCAGAGTAAAGTCTCCCCAGCGGACGAAGAGCGTGACAAGAATTCAACCTTCACGGAGTCGGCGCTGTACTCCGGCGCATCCGTAATCAAGTTCCCGCCGCCGTCGATGGGGCTTTTGATGTCAACCCCAAAATTCGCAGCCGTAGCTGCCCACAGCTTGGTCGTCCATTCCGTAAAGTCACCGTCCTGGTCACCGTTCGAATCCCCGGTGCCTTTCTCGAATATGCGGTTCCCGCCCAGTGCAGCCATGTCCGCGTCGACCTTCTTCGGCTGGGAACCCAGAATTATCAGCGACACGAAAACCACTAAACGAAAAATGCGCGTACGAATGCCTGGAAAGTCGGTCCCCATTGGGTGTTACCCGCGCCAAACACACAGAAATTAATGCCACTGAATCGCGCGCTATCGCCCGCCTTCATCTCCGCATCCAACATGTCACAGAAGCCCAGCGCCGCAGCGGGCGGCTCGCCATTGTACGTCGCCACGCATACCACAAAGAAATTCGGTCCCGCGGCAGCAGCAGCCGTCTTCTCCGCACTGGCGAGCGGCGAGTCCGCGAGCGCCACGACCTGCACATCCGCGAAGCCGAGCTGCTGCGCCTTCGCACCGAGTACACCCGCCATGCCGGCGCACGTCCCCGTGTCCGACGCGTGCACGGCCCAGAAGCGCGGGAGCGTTTTTGTCCCCACCACGGGCTGGGGCGCCTGGAGCTTCTTCTCCTCCGCCTTCTCCGCAAGTTTTATGTCCAGCTGGGCGGGATCGACCTGCTTGTGCAGCCGCATGTTGAAGTTGAGTGGGCGGAAGAGGGAGAAGTCGGGGTCGTAGATGACCGCGCCCTCCGTGGTGTTCTCGATCTGGAAGTTCAACACGACGCGACAGAGGATGATCTTGATCTCTTGCAGCGCGAAGTTGAATCCGATACAACCACGCGCGCCTACGTCGGTGTCTCAAAATGGAGACTCAACGGAGGGAGAGTGATGGAACGCACCTGCAGCAAATGGTAGGTACGCATTCTTATGCCGCTTGCGCACTGACTCTGTGCCCCAACGATCCGGATCGAACGTGAGGGGATCCTGATATTCAACGTGAGCGAAAAGGCTACTAGGGAAACTTGCGAATACGCACCTTCCAATGCTCCGGATTAACCATCAATGAGTGCAGCGCGACAGTGACCTGTGCGCCAGCGGGGACGAGAAGTCCGCCCGGCATGATCACGTCTGAGAATAGTCAGTTCGTATCGATGCGAATCTGATATTCCCCGGGCGAATAGCGTGGAGTAGGTTTTTTTTTGCAAAAATAACATACCTTTGTGCGCCTGCCTCGTCGGCTGAAAAGCGGGATTATACAAACGCTGCGTCTCTTTAATAAACTGCCCCCGCGGTTCCCCATCAATTTCGCTTGTCCAAACAGGGAAGGAAGAACGAACGCACCCAATCAAGATACTCCAACTTCCCCAACTCCTCCGCCGTGATCTCCTCCGTGTCCGCGCGCAGCCCAGCCGCGAGAAGGGATGCGTAGAGCCTGCGCGCTTGGGCCGGGAAGGAGGCGAGGCAGAACCAAAGCTGCAGAGAATGATCAGAAATTTTAATGGAATGAATCAAAATCAGAGAATGAACGGCGAGACGCACCCACGCAAGCGCACTCGACGTCGTAACTTGACCCGCCCCGAGGAACGTCAGCACGTTCTGGTGCACCAGCTCCACCTCCATCTTGCGCCCCTCCTCGTCCGTCGCGTGCAGCTAACGAATATCAGCAATCAAGTCATATTGCCATTCGACGGCTGGAGGCGCACCATATAATCCAACAAACTCTTGCTCTTCAACGCCGCCTCATCCCGCGGCATATCCTGCGTCTCATACTCGCGCAGCGTGCGTTGCACCTCGGCGTCCACCCAGGCTTTCTATGCGCGCGTGTATGTCAGGACTCAGAATACGAAGGAAATGGAACGAGAACGAAAAACACACCAACTGCGCATCGAACCCGCGCTGCGCCCTCGCCTCGGGATTCGGCAGCGCGCGATACACGGCGCCTTTGCGGAACAGGATCTGCGCGAGGTGCAGGCCGGCACCGATTTGGCGGAAGACGGCAGCGATGGGGGAGGAGGCGCTGGGTGGGTCATGGTGTCAGCACGCACAAGAGTTGAGGGTATGATACGAATTGTAGCGCGGGAGACCAGGGGGGGGGATAAAGACGAAGGGAATGATGGGATGCGGGGGAGGACGGAATGGGATAAAGGGAGGACAGAGAGAGAGGAAACAACGACGATGGGACAAAAAACGACGGGTAACTCACGAATCCAACATCTTGAAATCTACACCGACCGCCACCTCCCCGATCGTCTGCCCCGCCGCGCGCAGCCCCCACGCGAACGCGTCGACGCTTGTGCCTTTTTCGCGGATCCTATACGGGTCGGGAGTTCGTTAGTTTGGGATTTGGATGGAGGGGAAGATGGAGGAGGAGGACTGAGTGGGAAGCGAATATGGAAGGTCAAAGTAGCGAAACCGATGGGATGAAAGAGGAGAGGGGAAATGGAGCATCTAATCGAAGAGGAATCCGTGTCTCCAGACGAAAAAAGTGTCGGAGAGGGGCGGAGAAAATGGGGAAGAAACGAAGCAGAAAAACCACGTACTCCTCAAAACACCCCACAAGCCTCTCCGCCGTCCGATCCATGCTCCTCACATACCCGCGCATCGCCCGCGCGCCCATCGCACCCATCATAAACGCGTGGCTCGTCCCCCACGCGGGGTTGGCGGAGTCCGCCGTGAAGAGCCCGTTGGGGACGGTCATTTTGAGGGGGAAGAGCGGGTGGTTTGCGCCGACCTGTTCACGAAATAGCTTAAACATGCAATTCGGTGAAACAAGAAGGAGGCGCACATTCTTGCTGAAAAACTCGCCCTCGCTCAACACGATCCCCGCGCAGTCGGGGTCGTCTGTTAGGTAAACCGACTATAAACGCCACGAATCAATTCAATTAGCTAAAATCGCGAGAAGAAGCAGAGGCACGAACTTTGCCGAGATAGCTGACATGCACAATATGCCCGTACCGCGTGAGGAGGCGCTGGTAGTTGCCCATGAAGTCGGGGTAGAGCTCGCTGTAGCCGCCGATGTAGGGGATACCGCCCGTTGGGCCGGGGACGGGACGGACCTGCGCGGGGATTAGTATTCGTTCTTTACCCGCCGTGCATCGAGAAAAACGCCAAAAACAAGAAGAAACGAAAGCAAGACAAATAACGGCGAAAGAATATTAGAACAGGTAACGCACCCTCTTCCCACTGACAAGCAGCGCAACCGTTTCCTCCCCTTCAATCGCCTCGGTCGTTTCCAACAGTTTTAGATCGCTCGGCGTCGTATCCGGCGGTGCGGACTTGTGGAAGGAGAGCGTGCTCGGGAGGGCGACGCTGAACTCCGCCGCGACGGCTTTGCGGAGGTGTTCGATACCATTACCGGCGTCGATTGTGATGGAAATTCCATCTGTGCTGGGGGACTTGCCGTGTAAGTGAAAGAGGACGCCGGGCATTGCGTATGGGAGGGGGAGAAGAGTGTGTAACAAGAAAAAAGCGCAGAAGATAACGCGAGGCAGATGGGGAGATGGCTTGGCTTGGCGCGGCGATCGAATGGTTTCATTTAGCTCTTGTGTGTCGGAGTGTACCCGGTGGTAAGAGGCGATACTCAGGGCCAGGCGATGCGGCTCGGGGTAGCTGTGGTTGCCTTCCAAAAGACACTTGACTCTGGCCCAATTTTTGCCAGGATGTCCGTCAGAAAGGTCGAACACTAGATATCAGCTGCTCGCCCCATCTCTCCTCCACAATCGATTGCGAATGAGATCTTCGGAGATTCCTTGACACCGAGATGATCTGCGGGGATCTGCATTGTGCCTCGTTGCGCGTCCGCCACGAAAACATACGGATGATTGGCGGTGAATCTCGATTGCTTGGCCTTGACCCTTGGCGGTTTCGAATGAGGCGCCTGGGCAACACAACGCCAGCTCGGCGAGGGCGGTGGCAGACTGAGCTGCGGGGGCAAAGGCTGGGCGCGCTGGGTTCGGTGCGCTGACGGTTGTGGTGGTTGGGAGCAACCATGATCGTGTTACGTGACTGGTTGATTCCCATCTTGATGTCGGCAGCGTGCCGAGTTGCGGCTTTTTGGGTCTTGTCTGCTACTTTCAACCAGATCTGAGTTCGGGTGCCCAAATTGCAAGTGGTCGCGTGGATATCTGTTCTTTCTCCACGGGAAAACAACCTTGGAAGCAACTTCTATATTGACAGTGATAGCCATTTTCGACGCACTATCTATTCTGAGATCTTCTTCCCTGTTTTAAACTCTGTCTATCATAGACCCCTTCTCTCGCACAAGGAGCCTCGAAAAGGGACGGCTTGTAAAGCAACGGTTTCACTTCGGTTCACCCATCGCCACTGATCAGCGGACTTGCATAGCTCACGAAAGTTGATACCCACTAGCGAGACTCCGAGAACTTCGCATAAGCCACCGTATCAACGTTCGTGGCATGGACTCCAATACAAATTCGGTCTGGAGCACAACTGGAGCATATGCAAAGTATATCGCGGAGACTCGGATTCCCAAATTCCTCGGTCTTCTCGGCGGTACTCCCCAGTTCATGAGGACAGGCAATCTGGTCAGTTATGTCCCTTACTATATTTTTATGGAGTTGGACTCCTTCGGGCCACAATCATACCTCCTCAGGCACCGAACGAAGCAGCTCGCGGCTACCATCTCTCGGCAAACTCCTTCATCATGTTGCCATCATTTGTTTCGGTTAATCCTGCATGCCTCCACATCTACTCCCGAATGTAATCGTCGGTCGGCGTCTGTCAGTATGATACCTATCCAGCCGCCGTGGATCCCGGCCCAGAGGCCGACGCATTTATAAGTCGCAGCCCCGCGCGATCCGCGAGACCGCACTCCTTCTCTCCTTTCCCCCGCAATGCCCTACACGCAACCCGCCTCCCTCGCAGGGAAACCCTTCGTCATCCTCGGCGCTGGCACGCTCGGGCGACGAATCGCCCTCATGTGGCTCACCCAGGGCGAGACCGTCCATCTTGTGTATGTTCTTCGCAACTTCTCGTTTGCTGCGCTGACTTTGTTTGGGGGGATAGGGATCCGAGCGAGAAAGCGCTCGCCGATGCGTCGGCGTTCATCTCTGCAAACCTACCAGACGTTATCGCCACACACGTTCCCGGAGGCTCCCCCGGCAAACTCAACGTCTTCCAAGATCGTGCGGAGGCGATAAAGAATGCATGGATTGTCGTGGAAGTCGGTGCGTCGCCTAAGCCTTTTGCCTTGGACTAATGATGATTCCGTTCCTTTCAGTCCCAGAGATCCTCGACCTCAAAATCGCGCTCCTGGGCGAACTCGACGCAATACTGCCCGACGACTGTATTTTGGCGAGCAACAGCAGCTCGTATACGGGCTCGGAGATGTTCGAGCGCGTGCAGAATCGGGCGCGGCTGGTGAACACGCACTACTATATGCCGCCGCAGGTGCTGTGCGCCTCTTCCTCATTTCACCTCACCGCACGGCCTGAATACTGACCAAGATGATGAATGGTAGCCCGTTGGAGGTGATGCCGAACCCGCACACCGATCCCGCTGTGGTGGAACTGCTACTACGAGAAGCACCAAAGCACGGGTTGCGCGCCTACCACGTGTGCGTCCCCATTTTCCCATTTATTTTCCGGAGAGCTCAACCCAGAACGCCCCTCAGCCGCAAAGAATCCGTCGGCCTCCTCTTCAACCGCATCTGGGCCGCCATAAAACGCGAAGCGCTTTCCCTCGTCGCCGAGGATATCGCCCTCCCCGCAGAGGTGGACGCGATAATGGGCGACATATACGGCCTCCCGCCCTCGGCCGGCGTGTTCGCCATGATCGACAAGATCGGGCTCGATGTTGCGCTTGCGATTGAGGAGCACTACGCCGCCGTGGGGGATGTACGGCCGGAGGCGGCGGCGCTGTTGCGGGAGATGGTGGGCAAGGGGTTGTTGGGGGTGAAGAGCGGGAAGGGGTTCTATGAGTATCCTGCGACGAACGGGACGATAACGGGGAAGGCGGAGGGGGAGAAGACGAAGGATACCTTGATATTCCTCGACGTCGTGAAGGGTGACATACGCTCCATTGCGACGGACGGCAGTGGGGCCAAGATACTCGTCGGCGGGCTCCCGACGCGGCCGGATGGGGTGCAACTTGATGTGCGTCCGGGTAAAGGTGCGTGTTTTTATCTTGCGCATCCGCCTGCGCACTTTCCTGGCTCCCGGCTTACGATTTTCAATTCCAGGACATATGTACTACACGCTCATGGGCCCCACTTTCACCGGCCTCGACGGCTCCGTCGCGCGCTCCAACCTCGACGGCAGCGACCCGATCGAGATCGTCCCCACCGGCGCAACACGCACGCCGAAACAGCTCCAGCTCGTCCTCGGCGGCGGCGCGAACAACGCCGCGGAGGACAAGCTGTACTGGTGCGACCGCGAGGGCGGGAAGCTCATGCGGTGCAACCTCGACGGCTCGCAACTCGAGACGCTCTACTCCTCGGTCCCCAGCCTCACCACGGAAGCGCTGACAGACCAACGCAGCTGGTGCGTGGGTCTGGCGATCGACACGGAGCGCGGGCTGGTGTATTGGTCGCAGAAGGGCTCGCCGAAGGGGTGGTGTGGGCGGATTTTCCGCGCGCCGCTGGATTGCCCGAACGGCGTGGATCCGGGGAGTCGGACGGATGTGGAGGTTCTGTTCACGAGCTTGCCGGAACCGATTGACATGGAGCTCTACGACGGCCATCTGTATTGGACGGACCGCGGCGACCCGCCGTTTGGTAACAGTCTCAACCGCGCAGACGTCTCCGCCCCGCTGAACCCCGCCAACACGCCCAAGGGGCCGAGTCAGGAGCTGCTTATTGCGGAGCGCTTCCATGAGGCCGTCGGGCTGGCCATTGACGCCAAGGGCAACAAGGTGCGTCCCTAATTCGATTTCAGAATCATGTGGATGCGAAATAACGAACGAATCCAGATATATGTGACGGATCTGCTGGGCTCGCTGTGGGTGACGGATCTCGACGGCGGGAATAAGCGGGCAATTTTGAGAGACGAGGGAAATTTCACGGGGCTCACGTTCTTGCCTGCGGGATCGGGATCCGTGTAGTGTGTATATTTTGGGCTAGAGTATGGATTCAATTAGAGGATAGGAGCGCAGGATAGACTAACGCGTACGTTCTATTGGTTAACTGGCATGGTGACTGTTGTGTCGGGCTAACTTCGGCCCCGGCTAAGCGCCTGCTTTGTCCTGCGCGCTGCACCGTCTCATCGCCGGTGTATTGCACACTTCCACCTGCCCCTTGGCCCAGTTGGTGAAGGCGCACGACTGTTAGCATTGCTTCATCGTGAGATCGCAAGTTCGAACCTTGCAGGGGCAGCTGTGCTGCGGCGCCGGCTTTTTTTCTGCCCCCTCATTCGGGCGCTCGTCCTTTTTTTTCTGCCCCCTCATTCGGGCGCTCGTCCTTTTTCGTTGTTCAATCCGGCGTTATTTATGTATGTACTGGTAATTCACATGTATATTTACATCTGCATGGACACCAAACTGCATCTTGGAGCTTGAATAAGTCCCTAGTGTGAGCAAGCGACCCAGGAGACATTTCAAGGACGACATACTCATGGACTCCAGCTGCCTGATCAGTGCCATCGATCTGTCTGGGCCAACTTTCAGCTAGAGTCCCAAGGCAGGAAGAAGATACTGTAATGATGATATACCATGTATTAATTGACAATGATTTTGCTTGCCGGACAGAAATCCATTGAAAGAATCTTGCCAGTTCCGAGGCCTCCCAGCCTCCTCGATCTCTTCCGCTGCTGGGCTATCAAGACAAGACCTCGTGAATTTGAAGCAACGCACCAAGCCGTTTCTGCTTCTCCAAGAAACTTTCCCAGCAAAAGCTGTCGTACCAGTTGGGCAACGAGGAGTGAAGGATTTTCAAATCCTCGGGACCCATATCGAGATGTTCTATGGGGTAAGACAGCCATTCAGCTCTCTTGACGGCCACCAAGTCGCCGGTACACCAGAAACGCCGTCCGATGCTGGTGTCGTGATAAAACTCGCCTCCGAGTAATCGAGCCATCGCCTTGTTTACAGGGAGCGCCGGGCTAATATTATAATACCAGGTCCATTTGACTCCTGACCTGAGTTCGCAGCCGCCGGCCCGCGTGGCGAACATCTTCTCTGGACCATAGAGCCCGCGCAAATCAACGTTGATAGTGAATCGCTCGTCACCGCCGTCACCGCCGTCGTGTCCCCACCGCAGCCAGGTTGTGTGAAGCTCATGCTTCAGTGCTTCGGCACCTTCCCTGTTGAAAACCATCGGCGTGATTCGGGGTTCGCCGCCGTCGGCGGGATACAGAATAACGTCACGGAAGACGGCTTTGTGCGGATCTTCTCGGGGATGGATGATTCTGAGCTGCGCAAGAAGCCTCTTCATTTTATCTGCCAGCTAGAATTGAGCGAGCTGCGAGAAATCTGGTTAGTCAAACCTACCCGATATTCTCTGGAATTCGATGTCAGCGCTCACTGGCCGCGCCGTCTCTGGCCATAGTATGTTCAGCCGAAAAAAAGCACAAACTGATTGAGACATACCATACAGTTCCTCATTGTCGATAGTATATCTCCACCGAGGGGAGTCGTATAATTCGGGGATGAGGCGGGAATTGAAATGTTGGATCACGTCGGATGGCATGTCCAAAGCGTGGGCAGGAGTGAAGGTTCGCGTACGATAGTCCCACTCGGTGGTCAAACCTTTGAGCATAATCACATCTCCTCTCCACATCGGCCGTTTGTCCAGGTTCTTGAGATCCACGCCAGCCATCTTGGCCATCGCCAAATTGATCGGAAGTGCCGGGCTGAGGTTATAATGCATCACGTAGTCCGGGGAATCGAGACAAAGTCGACGGGTCGCGAAAATGTTCTCCAGTCCGTATATTGCACGCAAGTCGAGGTTAAACTCATGAAAGTGGAGTTCGTGAGCGGGCAAATCTTGGATGGGAGGGTATAAACGCATCGGTATGATGCGAGGCTCGCCACCGTCCGCGGGATACAAAAGTACATCGTTCACAGTGGATTTCAGTTCATCGGGTGGCTGGCTGTATGCGATCAATTGTCGAAGCATCTCGGCTCGATTTTCTGTAATCGACGTCAGCCCAACAGGCGCAGGTGGATCTTGGCGATGGATCTCCCGTACCGTATATTTCTCTGCTGCTCGCTGTCCTCTCAGCATTAAATGGCCAGGGCAGTCGCCATCGTACTTGTGACTTGCCTGAAATAATGAGTGTAAAGAAGTGAAACGAGGACGAGTCTACGACTGAATAGGACAACACACTTTTTTCCAGCTCCTCTTGATGAAAGCTCTTCCACGCCTTTGAGCGATACCACTGCGGTATGAGACTCGAGTTGAGCAGTTTCATCGCCTCCAGAGGCACATCGACATAATCTATGTGCAGTCCTTCCCCCGGGACCGAGGGCTCAGTCCACTTGCGTCTTCGTGCCACGAAAACGTCTCCCCTCCACATGAGCCGCTCGGTCAGTCCCTTCGGGTCCACACCGACCAATCCGGCCAGCGCCACGTTGGCGGGGAGGTCAGGGCTGAGGTTGTGATACAAAACGTACTGCTCGTCCGGAGAGTCACGGGCATTGACATTCCACGCCTTCGTACAGATCCCCGCCATGTTTTCTATCCCGTATCGCGCAGTCAGATCCATGTCGACTGCGTAGGATGAGGAGGGATGTTTCTTTGCGCCGTACTGGCTAAAAGACATGGGAATAAGCCGTGGTTCAGATCCATCCACTGGATAGAGAAGGACGTCGCGGATGACCGTCTCGAGGGGATCGCGGCGAGGGAAAGCCATGGGGGGCAGGAGCGAGACACAAAGCCGCATACGCCCACAAAAGCACACGGCACGGTGTTGCTGACGGGCCGAGGCCCGAAAGTCAATTACACAGCTTTCGTGGGAGAAATAGAATTCAAAGCACATTGAAAGACTGAAAGTCGGGGTGCGGGTCTGGCTGCGCTCTGGCATATTAGCCAGCAATCCAGCGTATCTGAAATGTGGACATCAAACCTTGATTGCCCTCGGTATTGCAGTTGGTTCAATCACGGTGCTTTTTAAATACGCTTTATTGGCGGACTCCCGAAATCATCGGCAAGTTGCCGAGCTGCCATCAGTGGTCTGGATTGGACTCACGGAACGGCACTCCTTCCCAGTTCCCACCAGCTTCCCACACCCCTACAAAGTACTTTCGTCACCTGCCATCTGCCTGGGTGGCTTTTGACCCTTCATAGTGTACCGTCCGCCAACGCGGCGTGCCGAACTGACGGCTCAGTGATGTTTGTTCCCACGGTTGAACTCAAGGCGCCATGACTTTGTTTCCTGCTTTCGTGGAGCCCAGCAATCGTGGAGCCCAGCATGGGATTTCTTTTGGTTGCTAAGTGCCGTTTACGTCTGAGCTTGAACTTCTCAGTCCCAACGGGGTTCGTATCTTTGTCTGGGCGTCCGGGAAACCAATCTGGTGGGTTGTTGCACTCTGCGAGTTTGAACTGGTACTGATCCCTGCACTCAACAAGGATTCTCTGTCATAATCCAAACCAAAACGAATGTGATTCCGGTATGCAAGTACACAGGAAGAAATAATAATCAAATCCACAACAAAATGCAGGTACGTTCACTCGGTGTCGATAAACCAAACGGCCTTGACCGATTTCGAGGAGTCGGAACCGGTGAGGGCCTTGAAGGCGGGGGCTGTCAGCTTAAGCTCGCCGGCGGCGCAGTCGCTGCAAGCATCCTTCACGTTGGCGGTGACGTTCTTGCCGTTGACTACGAGGAGAGTCAGCGGTGGAGTCGTAGAAGTGAGAACGATGAACATACGGGTAACGGTAACGTTTCTGAAGCATTCCACGCCGCCTTGGATGTCGGCGTCGCTAAGGGCGGCGACGAATTCGGTGGGCGAAATGGGGGCACCCGCACAGGCGCCGAAAGACGTGGTGTAGGACGACACTAAAATCAATGTCAGGTAGGTGTCGCTGAATGCACGCGAAGGCAGCGTACCGGAGCCATTGATCAACACCGGGGGCGGTACAATGACCTCGGCGGTGGTGACCTGGATGGGCCCTTTGGCGCCGGCGAGCTCTTGAATGAAGGAGGTGAGCTTGATATCGCCAGGCTTGCATTCTGGGCACACGTCCTGGACGACAGCTTCAATGGAGGCGCCGCCGATGACTATATAGGGGGGACCAGAAGTCAGCGCGATGGCTCCAGGAGCGTTTCAACAATTAGGCACACACCTGCGGTGACCACGATTTTCTCCCCGCAGCTCGCGCCGTTTTTGAATGCAGCGCTGTCGAGGGCGACGGCAAAATCCTTGTTCTGGATGGCGTTCCCGCAGGCACCGACGGTGCCGTTAGGAGAGTAGAAAAGCGCTGAAATTACGGATGAGCCATCCCGTTGCTCGACGAGCGAGACTTCAAGCTCGTACCAGTTACGACGCCAGAGGTTGGGCCCGTGGGGATTGTCGCTCCCGATGTGGCGCTGACGAGGGCAAGAAGGAATGCGGGGAGGAGGGTGAAGGACTGCATCGTTAAGTGGATTTCTGAATGAATGGATCGCTATAATTCCTGACGGTCTCTTATACCTTTACCTGCAGACAATCACCTTGTGCGCGACGATGATCGACATGTGTTCAATGAACATCTAATCGCCTTTTGCAGTGCTTCGAGGCACACGCGTCGCAGCGTGTCCGTGGCGAGGAGTGGATCTGCACCGTTACGTTGACTACAACCACACCTAGTACGGTTCGACTTCGTACCAGAACTCACCCGCTTTTTCCCCCACCCAACATTACTGGCGGTTCCTTGTCTGAACTATTTGCGGTGTGTTTCCCAATACTACCTCGCGGTCCCAGCCAAGTTCGGCAACCACGAGTGAATTGGTCCCGGCGCGCCATCAATTACAAACACCATGTCGCGAGACTACCGTCATCAATGCTCCCGCTGCCATGCGCTCAGCAGTCGGGGACGTCGGTAGACTGTGCTTAGAAGGATCTACACATTGCTCAGCAGACATTCCGTCGGAAGAGATTTGCCGGCGGGTCAACGGCAGCCGGCGGGTTGCCGTTTATGTTGATTTTATCTTCTGTGAACCAAGCGAGATACGTATTACTTTCTGGCTGTTTGTCCTTCGGTAGTAGGTACACAAACACATGAGGCGCTCTGCTGTAGGCATAGCATTGGTATTTCTGAATACTCCCATGCTCTGCTGATTCGACATCATTCCAGTCAGCAGCTTGGCCATGCCTCGGGTAAGGCCGGTTCCTTCCGGATCTGCTCCTTTCGGCGGGCCACAACAGTAACCACGCGCTTATAGGTACCACTGTCCT